AGGCGAGAGGGGAGTTTGAGCTCAGGTAGATCTCAATGACTCCCTCTCTTGCTTATTGTAGCTAAGTGTCAGATATGGATGCTGAAACGTGTACTCAGAGTTTAGTTAAAATATTTTGGATTAATTGTTTAGAGTGCTTGTTTTTGAACTGTGGGAGAAAACCGGAGGACCCGGGGAAAACCCATGGGACCATGGGGAGAATGAGCAAACTTCGCACAGGAATGCCGTCTGGTTTGGAGAGGAATTAACCAGGGACATTCTTGCTGTGAGGTAACGGCGCTAATCGCTGGCCACCATGACACCCGTTTGAGAGGAGGGTAAGTAGAGTTGGGTGGGGGGGGTGGGGGTGGGGGGTGGGGGGTGGGGGGGGGGGGGGGGGGGTTCTTCAAGACAAAGATATTGAGATGAGAAAAGTCTGGTTATTTATAGTGAGTTAAGGATCATCTGATAGGATAATCAGTCATTTACTAAAGTTGGAACAGCTGTGAACAATCATAAGCACGTGATCCTCTCGAAATTTGTTCATAAATAAACTTCACTTCAAGAGTTCACATTTAGCTAATGATTAATAATAAAGCTAGTTTGGCGTGCTGTCCAGGGAGAGAGCCCTGAGCTTATAAGATCCTCAAACCCTGGGCTCCCTCCAGTTGTAAGGCGAGAGGGGAGTTTGAGCTCAGGTAGATCTCGATGACTCCCCAAAGAAGCCTTTTGCGCTTGGGACAGCAGCCGCGTATCGAAGAAACCCCCCAATAGGCACATGACAATGCTATATCCGGCTGCTGGATATAACTTTGTGGAAGGAGATAGAGGAGAGATGCTCTTGCTAGAGCACAGTTTTGAAAGCGACTCCGGGGGAGTCTAGGCAGTGGCGTGGGAGTGGCTGGGAGTGATTCCTGCAGGAGTCGAGACTCTGGGGGGTTTCCTGCGGGAGCCAGAGCCGGGGTGGGCGGGGTTTCCGTGGGAGTCAGGAAAGATTTTTTGGCTGTGATGACTCTGGCGAGAAAGGGGTGTGAGTAAGAGGGAGGGGTGGTGTAGGAACTCCTGTGGAGTTGAAGCTAGGGAGACTCCGTGGGAGTCTGAACTAAGGGAGTGAGGGCCTATGCGGAAGGAAGAAAATGATAGTGGATGACTGAACACTAGAAGAAAGAAAAATAGCTGTAAACTTATGCTGAAGGAAGAAAATTAGCGGAGAAACTCACCGTTGTAATAGGATGGGGAGAGGGGGGAGAAGTGAGATGGAAACAATTTGGGGGGGGAAGGGACGCTGCTCGACGCTGTAAGAAAGAAAAGAAGGGGTGCATAAATGCTAAAATAAGTTAGGAGTTTTTTTTCTCTTTCTAGTGGCCGGAGAGGGGAAGTGAAGTGAAGCTCGGGGTAACTCCTGCGGGACTTAGAGCTGCGGGGGCAATACTCTCGCTGGAGTTTGGGGAAAAGGGCAGGGTGATGATGACTCCACTGAGAGGTGGCCGTGGCATGAGTCCTGCGGGAATCGAAGCTCGTTTTAGTCACTCCTGTGAGTTAGAGCTGGGGAATGGTGGCCAATTGGAAAAGAGAGAGAGAGTAACGGAACTCAATGCTAGAAGAAAGATAGTATTGCAACAGAACTGGTCGCTCCTGTGGGAGTCACAGCTCGGGGCGTCCCCTTCGGGGGTCAGAGCCCTGTGGGGGGCATGGTCTAGCAAGAGATGGGAGGAAGGAGGGGGCCAGTGAGGGCTCTAGCTAGCGTGTGGCTGCTAAGGGTTGGGCTGGGGATGGGCTTGGCAGGACCCCTGCGGGTGCAGAGGATCAGAGTGACTCCAGTAAAGTTAGAGCGGTGAAGGGCAAGAGATGAGGGGGAAGCGGAGTATAGCTCATACTTGAGAGAAGAGAATATGAAAGGTAGCTAAGAGGCTACTTAGAGGGAAAATAGGAGAAAATGGCAGAGTCGTGCTCGTGCCCTTGAACTCCGGTGGTTGAGTGTCAGTTGGAGAGGATCAGCTGGGCTTCCTTGAGATGGTAGTGGCTGAGGCGGATGTATGATTTGAAGGTGTCGGAAGACCATCGTCCGAGGGTCTGAATCTGCCGTTGGAAGAGCCCATGGTGGGCTGCTATGATGGCTGCCCCAATTCTGAATGAGTGGCTGGAGAATAGTTCTGGGGGAAATCCTGAGGCGGAGTACTTCTTTTAGGGGTTTTTGAAACCAAAAACGTGTTACTGGATGGTTAGCATCATCAGTAAAGAGGGGGGCGAGAGAGTTTGGCTCTTGGGTTCTCCTAAAGTGTAAAGGCTAAAAAGAGGTTGGAAAGCGTGTAAATGTAGTGCCCCGTCCGGATTTGGTATGTTTTGCGTTGCTTGACAAAGAATGAAAGAATTTCTTTATTCATCAAAATCAGATCAGATACGATGTTCTGGGGTGGATGGAGGGGTTAAAGTTAGATGTTATGGTTAATTCAGAACATCTTAGGAGGCCAAAAAGCCAGGGTGTACATACCATCGAGAGTGCTGGCTGTGTGTGTGTGGAAAGGTATCCTTAGTGTAGTGTGATAAAGCGGGTGGCTTTGGGCAATATCATTTCTTGATAGTGTGGGACTGGTGTTGGATGGGGATCCGCTTCTGGAGCCTATCGCCAAAACTTCTGGAAACAGAAACAAGGCCGAGTCAGCAATAGATTTTTATAACCTGATACATGTTCAGCAACTATACAAAACTGTTTATTGGCTGTAGTCCAAGTTTAGCGCCTTAATGGCATGAGAATGCCCCTTAATGATGCATTGGACAGCCGCTTCAGTGTCGCAGTGTACGAGGATGCTAGATGCGGCCCATTTGTCCATCCGCAAGATAGCCGCGGCGACGATGGGATATAGTTCAAAAGGGGATGATTGTTAGTTCTGAGGAATTTCAAGCATTTAGGGGGGCCATAGTAAAGTGAACCCGCGCAATTGGTAATATCCCCTGTAACCAACTGAAGGGGCTCAATAGAGAAATTAGATCAGATATGGTGGGGTGGATTGTGAGATTGAAATTTGAGGTTAGTTCACAACATCTCAAAAACCAAAAAGGCTAGTGTGAACATGTCAGGTTTGGGCTGTGTGAGTGGAATGTATCCTTTGTGAAGAGTGTGAATGTATTTGGAACGGGTGTGGAGTGTAATAGGTTGGATAGGGGTCAGCTTCTGGAGCCGGCAGTTATGATCTCTGAAATTGAAAAACAAAGAGAATTAGAAATTAAATCTTTACAACATAATACATGCATGGCAGACATGAAAATGTTTTAGCTGATATCCATGCGAGGCATCTTAATAATAATCAGAAGTTACATGGCTATTGATTTTTTATCAATCAATCAATCAATAAATCAATTAATTAATCAATGCCAACATCAAACTTTATAAAACTTAAAAGCAATGTCACCACTTAGTATAACTGTAAATGGAATGTTAGTAATTGGCTTTAATCTGTGAATAACATTTTGTTGTAATCTTAACTTAACTAAATTCACAAGCATGTCTGGCCAAATTCATTCGTAAGATCTTTACAACAGAGTCGAGAGAGAGGGAGAGCAAGACCATCTCCAGTTTTTTAGAGCTCATTGGATGGTGATGCTTCTCCTTACAGCTATTGGCTTAGGAGTTTCAGTCAGGCCATGCAAAAGGTGCAAAAGCCCGGCGGCCATTTTGTTGATCAAAATCAACATAGTATATGACTAGAGCTGCTGCTCTGCTGAACACATTCCAGCAAACAAGCTGTTAAATGATCACATGTGTACTGCTAGGAGAAGGTGAGGGTTCAGTTTCATTGCAATAACTTTGGAGCTTTGGCTGATATCTTGCTGGGGAATAGGGTTGAAGACACAGCAGATGCGTTGTGGAGGCACTTTGAAGTGGAAGGTTTTAGTGTTGTTTAAGCTGTTGATGAAATTGTTATAGTTGTAGTTGTTTAAAATAGTAGTATTAGTAGTTGTTGTTGCTGTAGCTTGAAGCTTGTAGATTGAAGCTTGTCGATTGTAGATTGTAGATTGAAGCTTGTAGTTTGTAGCTTGTAGATTGTAGCTTGTAGATTGTAGCTTGTAGATTGTAGCTTGTAGATTGTAGCTTGTAGATTGTAGCTTGTAGATTGTAGCTTGTAGATTGTAGCTTGTGGATTGAAGCTTGTAGTTTGTAGATTGAAGCTTGTAGATTGAAGCTTTTAGCTTTTGTAGTTGATGAGCAGAGCTTTCTTCAAGATGAAGATATTGAGATGAGAAAAGTCTGTTTTTTTATAGTGAGTTAAGAATCATCCGATAGGATAATCAGTCATTAGCTAAAGTTGGAACAGCTGTGAACAATCATAAGCACGTGATCCTCTCGAAATTTGTTCATAAATAAACTTCACTTAAAATATACAATTTATTTACATATTTATTTTTTTATACTAAACTAAACCTGTATTTTCCGATTCATATGACTGGAATGAATCATTGAACAGATTATTAATAACTAATCAGAAAGCATTTTACGGAGCTCAGTGTAAAGTTTAGTGTTTAGGCCTACAGTAAATGTAATATTAGAGGCATGTCTGTGGCGAGACGGCAATACTGTGTCTAAAATGACACTATTTCTCTGATTAGAAAACAAACACAATTATCCAAGAGCAACACGGTGTTAGATTTGAGCAAATACACATCAACAAATGTCCTATTCAGCTGGAGGAGCACAGGGATTTACAGGGATTTGAGTATTTTTCCAGGATAAAATGTAAAGCAAATGAAGTAGATCATTAAATAAGTACAAATGTTGTTTGTGTGAGTAAAAAGTCAAGAAAAGTTTGTTAAATACGTTTAGAAATGATGAAATAAATGAGCAAATAAGGAAACAGAACACTGCCGCCGCGTCCCCATGCAGTAATATGGTGTATCGGCGATCTCACAGGGGGACGATATGGCCAGCTAAAGATTTTCTGTTAAAGCAGGGCAGTGATTCACTAAACTGATCTGAGTCTTCAGTGCAGATTGATTTGTGTCTTCTGTGATCAATCAATGAATACTCACACAGCTCTTCTGCAGTTTCTCACAGCTGGTATCAGTCTCCGTCTTCCCTCATCTGATGTGTTGAATTTCTGCAGCTCAAACTCATCCAGCGGCTCCTCTGACATCTCGATCATGTAGGAGATTGTTGAGCAGTGAGCAGGAGAGAGTTTCTCCACTGAGTGTTTGTTTGATTTCACAAACTCCTGAATCTCTCTGGCCAGAGTTTGATCTTTCACCTCCAGCAGACAGAGGAACAGATTGATGGATCTTTCAGCTGAGAAAGGGACATATATCTTCTTGAACATTCCGGTGGTTCTTTCATCTGTCTTGATCTTGTCTTTAATGTCCTGTGTGATTCTCCTGATGCTCTCTGAGCTCTTCTCTGTGTGTGTCAGCAGATCCTGGAAGAGTCTCTGATTGGACTCCAGTGAGACGCCCAGCAGGAACCGCAGGAACAGATCCAGATGACCATTACTACTCCTGACAGCTTTATCTACTGCTGATCTGAGCAGAACATACAGAGACTTCTCAGAGCTGGCCTGTAGATATTGATCATATGAATATTTTTTAGTTAAATTTAGATATCGACCATCTGAATATCCTCTGTCATAGATCACCCTCAGCGGTTCTCTGTTCTCTGTTAAATGGCAGTAAAACACAAAGAAAGCAGCCAGAAACTCCTGAAAGCTGAGATGGATGAAGCTGTAGACTTTCCTCTGATGAATCACAGATTCCTTCTTGAAGATCTCAGTGCAGATCCCAGAATACACTGAGGCGTCAGTGACGTCTATGCCGCTCTCAATCAGGTCCTCCTCATAGAACATCACATTGCCCTTCATCAGCTGCCTGAAAGCCACTTCAGCAAGTTTGAGGATCACTCCTCTGATGGACTGCAGGAGTTTCTCTGGATCTCTCTCTTCATACTTCTGCTTCCTTACATTGATCTTCAGCTGTCTGAAAGCCACTTTAAGTTTGTTGATCACTCCTCTGTTGGACTGCAGTTTCTCTGGATCTCCCTGCAGATTCTTTGGATCCCTCTCTTCATACTTCTGCTTCCTCGTGTTGATCTGAATCAGCAGGAAGTGGATGTACATCTCAGTCAGAGTTTGAGGGATTTCTGCACTCACATCTTCTTCCAGGAGCTTCTGAAGCACAGTGGAGGAGATCCAGCAGAAGACGGGTATGTGGCACATGATCTGGAGGCTTCTTGCTCTTCTGATGTGGGAGATGATTCTGCTGGCTTGATGCTCGTCGCTGATTCTCTTCCTGAAATATTCCTCCTTCTGAGGCTCAGTGAATCCCTGAATCTCTGTCAGACGCTTGATGTATTTGGAGGGGATCTGATGGGCTGCTGCTGGTCTGGAGGTGATCCAGATGAGAGCAGAGGGAAGCAGATCTCCTTTCAGGAGGCTCCACATCAACACAGCCACTGATGAAGATTCAGTCACAGCACAAACTTTCTCCTCATCTGAAAAGTTGAGCGTAATTCTGCTTTCATCCAGACCATCAAAGATGAACACAACTCTACACTGCTCATAAATCTTGGGCTCCAGATCTTCAAGTTCAGGATGAAAGTCCAGCAGAAGTCTGTGAAGACTGTACTGATGATCTCTGATCAAGTTCAGCTCTCGAAATGGAAGCACAAACATGAAATCTACATCCTGATTGTCTTTTTCCTCGGCCCAGTCCAGAATGAACTTCTGCACAGAGACGGTTTTCCCGATTCCAGCGATGCCTTTAGTGAGAACAGTCTTGATCTGTGGTTTCCCCTTCTTGATCTTCTCCTCATGTCCTGCTCCAGCTGAGGCTTTAAAGATGTCATTGCAGTAGACTGGAGTGTGTTGTGAGGGTTTTGTTCTGGCTCTTTTCTCCATCTGTAAAACCTCATGTTCTTCATTCACTCCTTCACTCTCTCCTTCTATGATGTAGAGCTGTGTGTAGATCCTGTTCAGGAGGGTTTGAGTCTCTCCATGGTTGATTCCCTCAAATAATCTCTCATACTTGTTATTCATGATGGTTTTGTGCTGCTCTTTGACTCTCTGAAGTTCATCATGTTCTGGTTGGAATGAATGCTGCTGCAGGTCTCCAGTCTGATCATCTCTATCCACACTGCAGGATCAACAACAACACAAAGAATCAATGAGTGCGAGTGTAAAGATCCTCTAGTGAAGCCATGTGTGTTTTCTCTGAACCAGCTGAGACACAATACACAGATTTAATCAGATTTAACTTAAACACCACACACTGATCACTTTAAACACCACACACTGATCACTTTAAACACCACACTGATCACTTTAAACACCACACACTGATCACTTTAAACACCACACACTGATCACTTTAAACACCACACACTGATCACTTTAAACACCACACAATGGTCAATTCAAACACCACACACTGATCACTTTAAACACCACACACTGATCACTTTAAACACCACACACTGATCACTTTAAACACCACACACTGATCACTTTAAACACCACACAATGGTCAATTCAAACACCACACACTGATCACTTTAAACACCACACACTGATCACTTTAAACACCACACACTGATCACTTTAAACACCACACAATGGTCAATTCAAACACCACACACTGATCACTTTAAACACCACACACTGATCACTTTAAACACCACACACTGATCACTTTAAACACCACACACTGATCACTTTAAACACCACACACTGATCTACTGCTCAAAAGGCTGTAAACGTTGTTTGTCATTTATTAAATGTAACACTTCATTAATTTGATATCATTTATTCACAATGATGCTGAATGCTCATTGAAGACATTTAAAATCTTTTATGATGAAAATGTGAGAGAGCACAAGCATGAGGACTAAAGCTCCTAGTTGACCTGTTCAGCTGCTGTAGTGTGTAACATGGTAATGTTGTTTCTTTTACTGTATAATTTACTGTTCTCATGTTCCTCCGAATCTTGTATTCTTCTGTCTGTAGTTCTGAGGTTGTTGTGATCTTATACTTGTTAAATGTTTTACCATCAGTAAGATATTAATGATTCTCTGTCATCTCTGCTGTCTAAATCTGTCTGACTGAATCTAGTTTTGATTCACAAAATAATCTCCAGATCATACAAGTGTTTGCTCTCAGGGTTCAGGATTTCAGTAACAGCACTGTAACATTGATGCACTTTATTAAGACAATAATAAAGAGAAGATCTGAATACGGTTTCATCTTAAATCAATATCTCTCTCACCCATGATTATTTATGAGAGAAGGATGAGCAAGGGAGGATGTCATTTCTACCGGTAAATGTACATTTCATGTCTAATACGAAAGTGAAAGCATGTTGAAATATTACAGAGGGCTGTTTATCTGTTTGGAAAATTGACCGAAATTAATCATATAATATGTTGTATTAGGCCTGCTGTTTTGTTCATTTCTGTACTGACACCTTGAATGAAAGATCAACATTCATCTGCTTCATGATCTGACTGCATTCCCGGTGTTGTGATGAGAAATGCACCGCTGCAGTAAAATGCATGTACCGCCTTCACAGGCTTTCAGTTGCATTCTTAGTCTACATTTTACAAAAATTCAAAGGTCATAATTGATTAAAACGCAGGCTAATGTCATTATTACGTTGATGCATCAAGCAAGAACAAGAATTGAAAATCATTTTAGAACTAGGTTTACAAATAAAAGAAAAATACTAAATATTGACTGTACTATAGACTGATGTAATGAGCCCGTTTCTAAACTTAGGCATTTTCAACTAAACCACACATTAAACAATTCACTTTAATTAATCTAATGAGTGTTGTATTTAAATTCAATCTATTTAAATATTTAATCATATCACCTGTAAAGGTTACATTCATGGAGCTCACCGCAGTCACTGTCATTAGTTGTCATAACTTTATTATTATGTTTTCAAATCAATTTAAGGTAATATATGCACAATTCAGAGGGTGTGCATTTTACTACAGGGGTGCAATTCTTGGCATAACACAGCTTCATCTGTTATTTCTTTCTATAATGTACGCCTCTAATGCATAATTCTAGCCCACTTTTTAATAGATTAATTAATTCAATAGACAAATTTTTACAAAACTTGACAACTGAAATAAGCCATGTGTGAGAAAGTCTGACCGCTCTGATTTATGTTTGGTGACTATGTCTGTGGGTGTCAAAATTAAAATGCACATTTTTGCTTATAATATATATGTAGATTTTTTTCCAAGTTTAGTTTCATTAATTGTAAACAAAACGTTTTTAAATTGTCAGTCATATTTAAAGAAAAGTTATGCTAAACAAAGTGTGTGTATACAATTATGTTTAGCTTTTGACACTAAGAAATAGCTATTAACTTTTTTTTTTGGGTGGGGCTAGTGAACATTTTGGCAGGGCAAGTACAAATCTGATCGGGCCACTAGAAAAAATCCTTAGCCTTGAACCCTGTGTGGTGTGCTTGTCTCACAGAAATTGTTCATTCATCTTGTCTAAAATCTTTCTTTTTATCACAAACCCTTTGCTGACAATTGTAAAAGCCTGTAAACTCACTCTACTAACTCTAACAGTTTGAGTATTAGTATTAATACTTCAGTCACTTATTGCTACTTCAGTACTTTACTAAAATGTCTTGACTGGACGGAGAATAAAGTGTAATAATGTCTGATCTTCTAGAAACACAGGATCATATAAATACTGCAGTGTAATCGTGTGTGTAGAGATGATCTACCTGATAGCAGGTCGTGTGTTTTCACTCTTAAAATATACTGGTTCACCCATAGACGTGTCACTCTTCATAGACACACAGCTGGGCTCTGCTTCTGCTCTCTTCTGATGAACTGAACTAAAACAGAGAAGATTAAAGTAGAGCGCTGCACACACTGCACAAACCTGATATTAATCATTCTTCATTTACAAAAACACTTAAATTAATTTCCTTTATATTTGAACAGAAACTGTCTGAATGTAAAAAATATCAGCAAAAACTGATGAAGGCTCATTTCTAGTAGAGAAAGCCCAACAGAAATGCAGCTCTATTAGAGCAGATTAGAGCTGAAACTAATCATCAAATTACTGAATGAAGTCCACAGTGTAGGTGTGGGAGGAGCTTAATCATTCAGACGTGTCAATCATCATCACATGACTATATAAGCAGCTGACTGTTCCCGCCTCCGGCAGCTTCCCTTATCTTCCTCCTCATCACTCAGTCTTCAGAAGGTCACTTATTGGGGGTTTGTCTGCAGAGCTCCAATCCTGTCTTTGAGGACAGCAAGACAAGTTCATTTACCATCAACTATCATGACTGAATGAGCCGGAGAACACGAGAAATATCAATTCTAGAAACCAAATGTGTTGATCAGCAGCATCTACGAGGCCAACACAACATGATGATGACTGCGCTTCAGTGAAAACAGACTCAGATCAGAGGAATGGCTGATCAGTACAGCACAGAAACAGCAGCGGAAAGAGCAGGAAAAGCCCTTTATGGCAGGAGATCGGGAATACTTTAGTTTAGCTCACAATTCACACTATTAACTACCGGCTTATTATCTGTGTACTGTGAACATATGAACTGCTCATTAGTAGTCATACAGTATGATCTTATTGTGTATCCCTAACCCTATCCAAAACCTAAACCCACCTTCTACCTCACTAACTATTAATAAAGCGCTGATTGGTTTGTTAACACCATCAATTGTGGCCTGAAGTGTAAACCGAAGATCTTCAAGCACTATCCTGCAGAGCTCAGATAAAACATCTAAAACCCAACAGATCCACAACACTAATTACCTGATTCATTTATTATGAAAATACTCATCAGTTGCAGATATTAAAGAGATGATCTACCTGACAGCAGGTCGTGTGTTTTCACTCTTAAATTGTATTGGTCGATCCATAGACCAGTCACTCTTCATAGACACACAGCTGGACTCTGCTTCTGCTCTCTTCTGATGAACTGAACTAAAACAGAGAAGATTAAAGTTCATCGCTGCACACACTGGAGTCAAAACAGCAGATTTACTCAACATTTCATCATTAAAACACTGTTTAAACAGCACTTCATGATACTTTTCATGATGATTGTACAAAATCTTTCTGGCTGTGTGTGTTAAATATTCTGGCAGATTAAAAACACAACTAACAGAGAGTTAATATAATATCCTGTAGAAAATAATCATAAGAAATGTCAAGTGTGGGTCTAATACCTGCATCCTGTAGACAAATCTTGATCTCCAGCAGTGTGTGTGTCCTCCATGATGGACCTGAAGAGTTTGATCTCCAGCAGAAACTCTAGAAGAAACTGATGAACAATCACAGATCTCCAGTCATTGATCAGCCTTCATAATTCAGCTGAATGCAGGAATAGATCAGCAGCTGAGACACTCAAATCCAGAAGCTCATCACGAGTAAACTAATGAAGGATCACAGCGTCATCTGTTTGCTAAGGATTAAAATATAATCATACAGATTCACATAAAGCTTACAGGTTTTGTCAAGACATTAAAGATTTAAAGGTGTTCTGCGTTGTAAATGGTGGATTCTGTCTGTTTAAAATGGCGACACAACAACTAAACACTTTCACTTTCGTTTCTGAAGGAGCGGCAGATCATGAGTTCAGTGAAAAACAACCGTCACAAACACTCTAAACAGAGGAGAGAAGAGTCAAACAGCTGCAGGGTTAACAAAGCAACAACGGAGTTACATTTTACTAGGGGGATTTTACCTAAAGCAGTATAAAGAAGACAGAACAAACAGATACCCGGATATCCTCCACCTCCTCCTCCTCCTCCTCCTTTTCTTCTTCTTGTGTGGCGAGTTACAGAGAACAGCGTAAAGCTAAATGCTGCTACCTGCTGTACTGGATTGTGTATAATAATATGTTTACAGTTTGGTCAAATCAGTGTCATAGAGCTCAATGTAGATTTATAGAAAATAAAATGACTGTTTTCCCATATATACTCTAATCTTCTTAATGAAGTCTAGCACAGCTTGTGTTATATTCCCCATGTGTGACTGCTCTGATGAGAACAGCTCAAGCATTGAGAGGCTCAGGAGTTGTCCTGTTGTGTCGCTGCACTGATAATCCTCTCGCGTGTAACTGCAGATGAAAGCATTGTGTCTCTGTATTGGTTTAAAGATCAATATAATCATTAAAATATACTGTTAAATAAATTGGAATCATTAAAAATAAATACAAAGAAGAGTTAAAATAAATTAGATTTACAGATGTGTTGCTCTTTGTATTGAATAACTGCCTGAGAAAATGACTTGGAGTGGCGTTGTTTAACTAAACTGTGATCATTTTTGTTTGTTTTTAATTGCATAATTGTCAGGAACAAACACATGTCCAATTGCTGCAATATCACTAGAATATTGTTTATTAATTTTCGCTTGAATTGTTATTTATTTGACTTTTTTGCCTACGTTTTCAATTGGTTTATTTGATGCCTTCCCCAGATAGCACACATGCGTCGCAGAGACGTCTGCTGGACATCCGCGGTTTCATCTGGGAGACGTCTTATTTAGGTCGTTTGCTCATCGGGAAAACGTCGTATAGACGTCCTTGTCAGACATTCAAACAACGTCTATGCGATGCATCGCAGATGTTCATTACTAGAATGTTATATCTGTGAGACATCTTATTTATGTAGCATAGACGTCGTTTTTTTATTATTTTTATTTAGACATCCCCTCATGAAAACGGCTATAAATAACAGTTGCAGTTACACTGATTATACATCCGTCTACACATAGATGATAAGCTCAAGTATTTTTCACTCAAAATGAAATGACACAACGGCTAAGGAATCATTTGTAGAATTTTATTATTCAATCATGCATTCATTCATTCAATCATTCATTTTCTTTTCGGCTTGATCCCTTTATTAATCTGGGGTCGCCACAGGTATGCAACACCAATCTATCCAGCATATGTTTTATGCGGATGCCCTTCCAGCCGCAACCCATCACTGGGAAATGTATTATATTATATTATATTATATTATATTATATTATATTATATTATATTATATAAAATTATTTTATATGATATTATTTTATATTAAATTATATTATATTATATTACAATATTTTATATTAAATTAGATTATTTTATAATTTATATTATATTGTATTATATTATATTAGAATATATTATATTATTTCATGTTATATTATATTACATTATTTTATACTATATTGTATTATATTAGAATATATTATTTAATATTATAATATATTATTTTATATTATATATTTATAATATTATTTTATATTATATTAGAATATATTATATTATTTTATATTATATATTTTATTATTTTATATTATATTAGAATATATTATATTATATAATTTTATTTTATACATTAAATTATATTATTTAATATTATATTATATTAGAATTTATTATAATTTAAATTTTTCAGAACCAAACAAAACACATTTAAAGTGATCAAGTCGCTTAAGAGTCCATTCTTTCTGGGGCCAAGCGGAGGAAGTCTTTAAAATGTTTTCTGTTTCTGCCTTGTTGAAGACGGAAGCACGGGGTTCCTCAGCTGCACCTGTTAAAGAATAAAAAAAGTTATTTTACCAACCAAAATTAATACACACCATCACAATTATTGCATTTGATTGCATAATAATAATAATAATTAAAAATCTAATAAGAAGAAGAAGAAGGAAAAAGGATATGATTGTCTAAAAATTCGTTTTTCAGCCTTCACCTCCGAGTGCTCTTAATTTTTTTCATGACCACATTTGTTTAGTGTTGTTATCGTATTATTATTATTACTATTATTATTATTTGTTATATATTTGTTGTCATATATTCTCTATGTATTTATGAATATGTTTTGTTTATTCGTTCACCTGTCGGGATTTACAGAGGTCAAGCATCGCGTGTCGCATAGGAAGCATGTGTGCTTGAATATAAATCTCATTTTTGACCATATTGCATTGATTTTCCTAATTTATTCGTTTGCTGGAAATTAGAACTGAATTTAGAAACTGCTTTGAAAATTATTTGATCGTAATAAACAAACTTAAGAACCACACAAGATTATTGCGATTTTGCGACTATGCTTGCGAATGTTCGCTGAAACGAGAAACAAATCGCTGGACGATATAACGGCAATTCTGTGTTTTAATTCTGAAATTACATTTAACTGTCTCATTTGTCCAATGATTTTGAGAAACCCCAGGGTGGTTGTAATGTAAAATGCAGTGGAGTAGCCACTACATTACAATAAGCATTTTATCTTTATAAATATCCACACAGTGTCTCTTTCTTCAAGCATTTTTCTGAACAAAGTTCACAAAGTAAAATGCCCATCAGACGCGCGATTTCAGTGCTGAAAATAGATTTAGAAAGCATGTCCTTGTTCAAACGACATAAAGGAATCAAAATGGAACTATGCTGGCACGATGGATGATTTTGTTTTTACAGGAAAATCAATTAAAAAAAATAAGCCAATCTACTGTTTTATGTTTGGTTATGCAGTTAATAATAAGACATTACTCTTGAATATTTATTTTTTAACAGTTTGTGTTTTGTCTGTTTGGTTTAGCTGAATATAAGCGGTCTTCACTTCTCAATCCTTAATTGCTATTCGTTCATCTTGTTTAATTTATAGATAACTGATACAAATTATAATAAATGAAACACCTTCTTAAAAAAACTTTTTTTTCAATAGAAATAATAAATTATAAAAAATAATTACCTATAATAAACTGACAAATTGCAAATCAAACAAAAAAAAACAGCATTTTTTTATTTAATAGTATTTTAAATCATATACATTTTTTATCATTAAATCAAGCTGAACAATCTATGTATTTTGTTAATGATCTGTTAACACCAGTTTCAACACTATTTTAGCCTACTTTTGATTGGTTGCTGTTAATTTCCAGTGATTTTGAAATAATACTTAGATTGTAAATATTTTTAGACTTTGCTATCCGATAATGATTCACCGTTCTCATGTAATCAATATAATATTCTTCAGATGTTACTCTCAAATAAATGAAAACATTGCTTCAAAGAATTAATGTTAAATAGAGGTGCAAAAGCTTAAGTCCGCCTATTTATTATAAGATAACCACAACGTCCTCATAAAATAAATTAAAAAAAAGAACACCAACAACAGTACTTGCATTAGTATGTACTTGGACAAGTGGTCAAATTCGAGGAACCGACTCTTTTGTGTTCGAAACTTCATCATTGCGCAAGTGCGCATGGTTTCCTAAAGAGCATCACAGTGAGCACGTGGAACTTCGTCGCCGCCAGTCCCCGCAGGAAAACTGAGGTACGTAGTCTGATTCATTGTTATGGATATGTGTGGTCAGTAATATATTTATTCCGTTTTGTTTTAGTAAATTTAATAAGGTAATAACTTTATTTAAACGAACAAAGCTAGGTTTAAACATGTTGCGATGACTGACTGAGCATCAAGTGGATTAATAGTGCCTTTTCAATTACGAAGAATCTGTTCTTTAAATTTCTTAGAGATCATACGACAAATTGGATGTAAAAGAATGCATATTGTAAAAGTGCACATATACAGTAGGGCTGGGAGATTAATTAATAACCTATCCATAACCGAAATAATTCCCCACGTGGTGATTCTAACACCAATGCTTAGGTTCCACATTTTTACCTCATCAAAGCTCAAGCGATCGCAGGCATTGTGATTAATATTCAGAGGCATTACAGATCATTAAAAGCAATAGTTTGTTTTATTTTTGATTGTTGTATGACCTAATGTGTCAAGCATTACCCACGTTTCTTCAGCGTATATTAATAATCAAATCGACTGATATTTTTTTATGTTTTCCAATTAGCACATAACATGTATATAGCTCTCTTTTCGTAAAGTGAAGCGCACACATTTTTTCACATTATGATGTACTTTTTACGCTTTATTATTATTTCCTAATTTCCAAGATATACAAGTTTTTAAACTGAAAGTAAAACAAAAACTGATATGTAAAAATTAAATGAATTGAAATAAATAAATGCAATTTGATTAAGTACAAAAGATAATACTTTGAAAATAACAATGATTCAATATTTGAAAAGGAAGTGAAGTGTTAAATTAATCAAGGTTTTGATGTAATGTTTAATCGCCCAGCCCTATACAAGAATCAACAGTTCTAAAACACTCTTGTGTATTAAACATAATTTTACAATATTTGAACCGCATGTGCTAGCTCATATAAGCTTATAAAGATGTAATGACAGTTCCATCTTTAAAATGATTGCCTAAACTGTTCATTGTAAGACATTTGACGTACCTATCACAAGTGTCCCAATATTTGTGTTTTTTAGTCCTCTTTTTTTTCTCCTCCACACCAGTTGAGCTGTTTGGCTACTGGAACGAACACTTTGGAGCAAATACGCCATAACTCTAAATTTTTAGAGTTTGTCCTCCTCTGATGGATAACCTCTTTATCTTAAAAATAAAAGATGATATTAAATCTTTACAGTGCATTATGGCCCAGTTTTACAGACAGGGATGAGCCTAATTCTTAATGTAAGATGTTAAAACTGCTTTTATAAAAATGCATGTGAAAAAATTCAAGAAAACAATACTGGAGTGCATCTTATAACAGAACGATGGCAATGAGATTTTGTAAGGTATGTTAGTGCAAATTAAGTGTTGTCTGTGAAACCGGCCATGTAATAGACATGATTTACTTCACAACAGCTGTAAAATCCTAAATATTCGTACCATCTTTTCCATCATTGGATTTTCGGCTAATTGCCTTTTCCAGTTGTTCAAGGTCTTCCATTGTTTCAATAGGAAAGATGTAATTCTCAATGTCCACCACCATTTGAACACTTGGCCGAAGCAAGAGACTGGACCACTGAAGTTAGATGGTTAATCTTCATGTCCAGCTCATTAAGCTTCTTCAATATTGCCCTCTGCACAGCTCAACACAGTAGGTAGGTCCCTGCAAGCAAATTTTTTTAATACTTCAGTTTATGGTTACCTCAACATTATCTAATGTTAATCTACAGTATATTCACATTAAAGTTTTTTAAAAATGTTAGAATTATAAGACTGTCATAATTATTAGTCACAATTTACACATGATATTTAATTAGCTTTTGCAATCAATTTGATTTTAAATGCAAAGATTAGTTTTAACATGTTAATTGTTAACATTGGTGTAAGTGGAGTAATTCACAGCTTCACATGTATAAAACATAATAATAATTATTCATGAGAAGTAACTGTCTATTAAAAAATACAAATGAATTACTCTTTGCTCTAGCCTGGTGGGTACTTGAGGTTTTCAGTTCAGAGGTTGTGACTTCTAAGGGATTGTACTGAAAATGTAACATTACCATGTTATTAATTACACACTAATTTGCTGTGTTTGCTCTAATGAAGGTTGTTGTACCCCAATAGCTCAATGTGTGGTCCCCAAAGCATCCTCTTGCTCGTTTCCATCAGACATGCTCACTGGAAAAGCTGGTGTTGAGAAAGGTCAAGTTGGTAAGTTGTATTTTTTTGTATGTATGTATATATACAATATATACAAAATATATAAAAATATGTATATATACAAAAAAAAAAAAAAAAAAAAAAAAAAAATATATATATATATATATATATATATATATATAAATATATATAATTGCAATAAATGTGTTTAGGATTTTCTCTGTATAATTTAATAATTTTTTTATTTTTGTTAATTGTAATGTTTTAATCAAGCATATATAAGTATTTAGGTGACCAAACTCTTACTTTAATGGATATAATTGTTTAATAAAACTCTTTAACTCTATAAACATTTGTTTATTTAACCAAAATATATACTCTATTCACTGAAAAATAGATAACATTATTCATATTCAAAAGGGGTTTACTCGTATATGCTGAGCAATTTTTATATATATATATATGTGTGTATACACACGTGTGTGTGTGTGTAAACATATCTGTAACTATTTGTAATTTCAATAGTTGAAACTAAATATAAGAAGCAGCCCAGCCATATTTGCAATATTTCAAATTGTATATTGCATATATATATATATATATATATATATATATATATATATATATATTAGGGATGTAACGGTATTGTAAATACCGTCATACCGCAATATTAATTTTTTTCGATATTACCGAAGTCGCATGACTCGGTAAAACTATAGGTCTTCTGAGAAAATTTGCTCAGGCGAATGAAGCGAACGGGAGGTAGCGAAAACTACAATTCCCATAATCCCTTGCGGTCTGTTGTCGCTACAGATCCAGTAATGCGGAAATGGAGTGTGCTGCTAGAAGCGGGGATCAAAAAGTGCTGTAAAACTCTAAGGCCCCGTCTACACTAGTGCGTTTTAGTTTTAAAACGGCGTTGTAGAATGAAAACGATCCGCGTCCACACTCGCGTTTTACCCAGCGTTTCTGAACAGCTCTCCGTCCACACCAAAACGCTGAAAACGCACATCACGTGACCACAGACACTCTCGGGCAAACGCTCCAACATTTTTACCCAGATGAGAGCTCTGCTTGTCGGACTGCTCATCAAGCATCTCCCGCTGGATCTAATCTCACTATATTTGCTAAACGTGATATTTCATTCATGTTGTTGTCTTTATCTAACGACATAGGCCAATTCCCTGACTTTGGTCATTGGAATTTATTAAGTTACTTGTTCACGGGTAACATGTTTTGGTTAAGCGCAAAGATAAGTTAATGATTAATCCAGGGACTGATCGCTTGCCTTTATTTCCTACCATGTATAAACTTATTGTATGTTATACTTTTATAATTGTCGATTATTAAAACTGATATTCAGCAAAAGAGAGGGTGCGTTTCGTATTTTCACTGAAATTGAAAGGAGGCAGTTGTTATAGGCTCCGTTTTGTTATAAATATCCACAAATGAAGATGACGCTTCTTCATCTTCATGATGATGCAGCACGGCGCCTCAACATTTCTGCTGTCTGTTAAGTTTTCTAATATTAAAAAGGAAATATGCTGTTCCTTAAATCATGTTTACATTTTATTGTTGAGAAAGTGAAACAACGTAGCCAAGGTGATGTGAATGAAGTTATAAAGTACACTGTTCCCTTTGAAGATTTACGCGTGTCCTCGGTATGTTTTCCATATCAAACTGAGAAGGGGGAGACTGCAGCCTTGATCAAACTTGCGAAGTCTTAACTTACAAGAAGAGGATGCGAGACTGAACTGTGTGTGGGCTACTTAATATTGAGGAAAAGCCCCAATCAGATAGGCGAACGTTTGCAGCCCCGCCTACGTTTTCAGATGTCTCCGTCTTTCCCCATCCACACTGAGACGGAGCAGCAGCGTATTAGAATGAAAACGGCATCTCCAGCGTTTTCAAAAAGCTCAGTTTTCGGCGCTCGAGAAATAAGTCATATAAGTCATATCTCTCTTGTCCCAGAAACATCAGTCCCAAATGAGAGGGTTTTTTTTCTGTTGCAGGGGACATTGTAAATGCCCAGAGATACCAGCTTTTACCATATTATATTTATATGATAATTTTCCTTTAAACCCATCTCTAAGTGAGTGAGTGATTAAATGTTGAATTTGATGAGTTTTCAACAATACTAAATTAAAAACTTTATTTTTTTTTAACATGGTTTAATATTTTTTTTGTTATTAAAATTGAAGTTCCTGTTTCAAAGCTTACAGATAGATGGCTAATTTGTATGTCATTGACACTTTTGGCACTTTTTTGGAGTATTTTCATAAGTTTTGTTTTTTCCTGTAAATGATTCAATAAATACCGTACCGTGACATTGATACCGAGGTATTACCGTACCGTGAAATTCTGATACCGTTACATCCCTAATATATATATATATATATATATATATATATATATATATATATATATATATATATATATATATATATATATATATTTTTTTTTTTTTTTTTTTGTAAAATCCAAATAGGAACTTGTTTGACATATATTTAATTTGCATATATCTAAATGCAACAGATTCCAATATGGGCATGATCTTTCTTGACATTAAGATGGTACTTTTTCTACTGTTATAACTAAATTGTGTTCTCTTGTTTGTTATTTAGCTTTAGTTTTACAGTCTGGTCTAACATACAGCTTTAGTTTTACAGTCTGGACATTTCTTTTACAATACAGCCAAATGAAATGCTGAAGTATTTACCTGAAGTGAGACAAACAACTTATGTGGTGCTCTGTCTCGTTTGAAATGCCTGAGCATAGAAAACGTGTCCTCTGTTGGGTTGTACAGAAAATGTTGAAGTAGTGTGAGTATGTGCACCAATTGTCCTTCTGATTTCTTATTTAAAATACTGATTGATTTATTATTATACATTTCATTTTTTTACCTTGATTTTTCAGGTTGAGGTTTATCCCAAGTGTCCTGTGGCTCCACTTCCTGGCAGAACCTCACAGGTACTTCTGGAGATAGAACTGCAATTATTTTCTTTGGAATTATGAAAAGTTAGACGACATTTTCAATTTCAAATACCTGGTTCAATGAAGATTCAGTCTTTAAAGAGGCATGCAATTTTGGACAGAATAAGCACATCATGGAACATACAGTTTGTGCATAATTATTATGCAAGTCAATATCTGGTCATATATTTATTCTATTGACAGGGAGTCATGGTTTTTGCTGGTACTAACAATAAATAGATTAAAATGTAAGAATATGAGAGATGGACTTAAATGAACTCTGATAACTTACTGCCAGATTCTAAAACATAATATATTTTAAGAGTTACAAGAGGAAGTGGTGCTGGTCCTTCTAGATCAGTTCTCAACCTATACCTACAATGGTCTCGGTCTATTTCAGCTTGTGGTTATTTTTCAGTGGGTACACTTAGACACATTGTATCCAATTGTGTCATTCATCGTATCATTCTTTGACACAAGCTGACACATTGTACTTGCTGGTAACTCTAGGGTTCCTGATGCTTTTAAACCTAACTGTTCTAATGATCAATCAGAGGAATTTTTCAAGATGGATGGAAACTTAACTTAAAATAAACACTAAAAACTTCTTTAAACCGATACAAATGGCATGGTGCATGTCCTTTTAGCTCCTAACCTATGCCTATAAATGTCTCAGTGTATTTTGCAACACTCCTGCTTGTGATTATTTTTACGTGGGTACAATTGATACATTAAGTCAAATTTTGTCGTTTTGACACAGAAGCTGACACATTGTATTTGTGTTGGCACTGGCGAGCTGGGTTTCATAATGATTTAAACCTAACTATTCACCTTAATTATTGCAATCTTATTTCAGAATAATATTTTCTTCTCAGCCATTTTTTGTGACTTCAATCTTCCTATGAGCGTTTCTCACCTCAATTAAAAAAAGAACTAGTGTTGCATTTTCTCCTAGCCATATAATATATATTTTTTGTTTTTAATTGTGGGTTAAATCTTTTTCTTTTTTTTGGGACCATAAAAATATATTTATATAATTTAAATATAATATAAATATATATTTTTAATCAATGTACACACAGCCCCTCATATTGACAGCAAAACAGATTTTAATTTTTTTTATTTTTGCAGATTTATTAAAAATTAAAAACTGAAATATCACATGGTCCTAAGTATTCAGACCATTTGCTCAGTATTTAGTAGAAGCACTCTTTTGATGTAATACAGTCATGAGTCTTTTTGGGAAAGATGCAACAAGTTTTTCACACCTGGATTTTGGGACCCTATATATATTTCTATATTTTCACCTAAAGTGGACATTTTTCTCTAGCTTCTGTGTGTATGTTCAGTAAATCCACTTTTAGGGAAAATAATATGTTATTTTCATAGACTTTAAAGTGAAATAAATTAACACAAACATAGGGTCCTGAGAAAAATGTAAATTTTAGAACAAAAATTCAGACGACACGAGATTTTTGCATCTGAACTCTTTATATATATATATATATGTACATATATATATATATATATATATATATATATATATATATATATATATATATATATATATATATGTATGTATGTATGTATGTATGTATGTATATATATATATATGTATGTATGTATGTATGTATGTATGTATATATATATATATATATATATATATATATATATATATATATATATATATATATATATACATACATACATACATACATACATACATACACGTGTGTGTATATACATATACAGTTGAAGTCAGAATTATTAGCCCCCCCCCTTGAATTTTTCTTCTTTTTTCTTTTGGAGAAAGTATAATTTGTTTTATTTTGGCTACAATAAAAGCAGTTATTTTTTAAACACCATTTTAAGGACAAAATTAATAGCCCTTTAAGCTAATTTTTTTCTTGAATGTCTACAGAACAAACCATTGTTATACAATAACTTGACTAATTACCCCAACCTGCCTAGTTAACCTAATTAACCTAGTTAAGCCTTTAAATGTCACTTTAAGCTGTATAGAAGTGTCTTGAAATATATCTAGTCAAATATTATTTACCGTCATCATGGCAAAAATAAAATAAATCAGTTATTAGAGATGAGTTATTAAAATTATTATGTTTAGAAATGTGTTGAAAAAATATCTCTGTTAAATAGTAATTGGGAAAAAAAATAAACAGGGGGGCGAATAATTCAGGGGCTAATAATTCTGACTTCAACTGTATATATACATATAAATACAGGGCTTGACATTAACTTTTCATCACCAAAAGCCCTGTTTGTTTGTTAATGTCAAGCCCTGTATGTGTATATACAGTTGAAGTCAGAATTATAAGCCCCCCTGAATTATTTGCCCCCGTTTATTTTTCTCCCCAGTTTCTATTTAATGGAGAGATTTTTTTCCACACATTTCTAAACATAATAGTTTTAATAACTCATCTCTGTTTACTGAGTTATTTTATCTTTGCCATGATGACAGTCCATAATATTTGACGGGATATCAAGACACTTCTATATAGCTTAAAGTGACATTTAAAGGCTTATCTAGGTTAATTTGATTAACTAGGCAGGTTAGGGTAATTAGGCAAGTTATTGTATAGTGATGGTTTGTTCTGTAGACTATCAGAAAAATATAGATTAAAGGGGCTAATAATTTTGTCCTCATAGTGGTTTTTAAAAAAATTAATAACTGCTTTTATTGTAGCTGAAATAAAACAAATAATACTTTTTTCTAGTAGAAAAAACATCAGACGTACTGTGAAAATTTCCTGAATCTGTTACAATTGAACAAAAATTCAAAGGGGGGCTAATAATTGCTAAATGCTAAATAATTGCTAATTGCTAAATATTTGCTAAATGATGTTTAACAGAACAAGGATTTTTTCACAGTATTTCATATAATATTTTTTCTTCTGATAAAAGTCATTAGTTTTTTTTGGGCTAATATATATATATATATATATATATATATATATATATATATATATATATATATATATATATATATAACTTTGATTTTTTTTTTAAACACGTTTAAGGTCAATCATATTAGCAATAAGCGGTAAGCTTTTTTTTTTTTTCAATTGTCTACAAAACATACCACTGTTATTCAATGACTTACCTAATTACCCTAATTGCCTAATTAACATAGTTAAGCCTTTGAATTGCAATTTAAGCTGACCACAAGTATAATCTATCTAGTAAACATGTATTGTAATAAAATCTGAATCTCAAAGTTTTTTTTTCAGCATCATTAAAAATTCCTGTATAAGATGCTTTAAGAAAAGGAATGTATTCATATTTATTGTTAGCTAAGATTGGAATAGGTTAAATGTAAAAAATATGATCAGAATATTACATTTAATTCAATTCAATTCAGCTTTATTTGTATAGCGCTTTTACAATGTAGATTGTGTCAAAGCAGCTTCACATAAGTGGTCATAGTAGCTGGATCAGGGTAGTTCAGTTTTAGTGTTTAAGTTCAGTTCAGTTTTTACTTATAACAGTGTAGTAACTGTAGGTCTGTGATGCCTATTCAGACATCAAAAACTTGAACCAGCCTGTCCTGGTCTTTTGAGTTGTTATGAATGCTGTGAGATTACAGCTATTACAGTTTGTAGTATTCATGAAGAGCCAGTTACCTTGACACGTGGAGAAGGTCTCAAAACAGGCCTGCTGTTGCTTTTCCGCAATCTGTTGGTGGTCATGAACAAATGCTGTTAAAACTGATTTATAGATGTTATATCTCACATAAACATATTACTTTTTACTACACAGATTTTTAAAGCTTAGGTGTTGTTGCTTCTAATTAGCAAATTAAAGTTATTTGTGGCTATTCCTTAGAATGTAATCTTCAAGCTATGATTGTACATTTGATACATTTGAAACTAAATATACCTGATATTAAAATGGGATTGTGATGTGAAAACTAATGCTGAATTCAAGATTATAATTAAATATATTTATCTTTGTTACTTAAAAATACTAAATGTTGCTGTTCTTTTGCTTTTGAATTTACATTTAAAAGCAACGTGTACTTTGGCAACTTACTTGGGATTTTTTTTTTGCAGATATTTCAGATTCAGAGATATTGGAAGTGTACCAAGATTGTATTCATTTTTGGGAAATCTTGTCAAAAGATGCTGAAAGAAACAAAGTATGTAACTAAATTCATGAAAGTATTAGTCTATGGAACATCACAAATTATTGATTTTATTCTTTGTGTAATGTTTATTTACAATGTGTCTCATCCTGCTTACCCAACTCATGTGGAATTCTGGCCTGATGCTTGGTCCAACCTTTTTCTGGTTGTGGTGCCTCCATCAACCGGACACTCTTCAATATCCAGTCTATCTTTTTGTATAGAGGCTACCATGAGTGACCCTCTGAGTACTAAAACTTTGCTACAGATCCGGTACTTTCTTCATGAAGGAGCTCCACCAAGAGGTACATTTTTGTTTTTTTAAAACTGCAAGAACCTAGGCCCCCATAACGTTGAATAATTAAATTTGAGTTGTTTTTGTGCAAATACACAAACTACATTTTGTGCAAAATTATTATGCAAGTTAATATTTAGATTGTATTTTTAAGCACATTTTACCAATTCCAAACATCAATCTTAACCACTAGTATTTTTGTATTAATCATTTATAATTGTTATATAATTGTCCGTCAAGACTGGAAGTGAAAAAAGTACAATGTAAGTCACACTGTATTTCATTAGTCAGTTAGTTGAATTTAAGTTCTCTACATGTCAACTAATTTTCAGAAGATTATAAGCAGACTGTTAAGTTGGGGTTAGGGTTAGTGTAAGTTGACATGTACTTGCAAAGTTTCCTATAGCCAGTTAAATGTCTGTTGAAGGAGCAGTATCAACAGATACTGAGCAGACAGTCTACTAATACTTAAATGGACCATCAAAATAAAGAGTTACCTAATGCAAGAACTTGTGTAAAGAAATTCAAAATTGTAATGAAAAAGTAATGACTATATAAACATTTTTGAACCATTGTTTTCGGACTTATCATTTTATGTAGCATTTTTTAGCATTTGATTAGCATTGCATCCTTTTTAATAATTGTCAATTTTAATAACTTGCTAAATAATAGTACACATTTAAATAAAGCGTTTTTCACTTCTTGCCTTCGTATAAAAATATATATATTGGTTATAGTTGTGAGTGAAGTTTGGAATTTACAAAATGCTCTTGAATAAATATCATCTTGCATGATGATTATACACACTGCACTATACAGTATATATTAAAATAAAAAAAGGTAAAAAAAAAAATTGGTATAGGGAATTATTTTGTGTGTAAAAGTGGAACTGAAACAAAATAACTGCCGCAAGGGACTAGGAAAGCTTTTGCCTCAATGTTCTCAATTTTGCAGAGCTGGACTGGTCCTGAGATGACATCAACTTGGTAGATGCCAAGTGCGGAGGATGGAAGGGGATAGTCAAAAAAGAGTTCATGTTTGCTGAAGGTAGTGTAGGTCACGTAAATGTCATCATTTTCTGAAAATATGTTTTCTAGCTTTGAAACCTTTCCATTAATGTAGACAAGACGGTTTGCCTGGTTTAATTTCAGAGTGTATGACTCTGTTTGTAGTTCTTTGAACTGTGAAGCTCCAACAAATGACTCCGGTAGAGGGCCAGCAGCATGCGGTTTTCTGAGCACTGGTGCCTTGTTTTTGTCTCTTTTTTTGTTACAGGTGTGCAGTTCTGAGAACCTTCTCACGACTTGACTTAACGGACATGAAGGTTTTCGTAGAAGTTTCTTCAGCTTGTTAAGGTGATTCTCGTAAATGAACGCACTGAAATTGTCAAGGACACCATGGTGTTTTGCATCTTCTGCCAGATGGACAAGACAGTGGACGTTATAAGACAGAAATTTTGGACCGTATAGCTGTCCAAAGTGTGTCACAAACAGTCGGAGAATATCATTGGCATAGTCAATGTGATCACCAATTAGGCTGTCATTGCAAAGGATGAAGATTCCCACAAAAAGCAGCAGGAAGTTTTTGTATGCTTCAGTGGTGAGCAGGTCTTTTAGCATCACAGGGCCTGTGTACAGTAAGAATTGCCTAAACTCAGTTGCCTTCCATCGATCTATTTCTCTGACTGCTCTTGGTTTGCGTGCAAATTCTACAGGCACGTTCTTCTGGGCACTGACTAACCGTTCTGACAGCACAGATGCTTGAAATCCTGACAGCCTGCAAGTTAGAGGGCCCAGTCGAAGCCAAAGGTGTAGAAGCCGCCTCATGACACCAAGGCACACAAGGTGCATGTAGTCAAGGGGGAATCCAGAAACCATGTCCAGGGAGGTTTCCTCCAGAGGTGAGGTGCCATGGTGGTGGTCTATGTCAGTCTTATTTCTAAAGCTCTCATCATTTCTTAGAGGCATGTCAGTTCTAGGAAATGTCATCCTGTTCTCCAGGTACACACCATCCTGTATGCACTTTTCACATCCATGGTAACCTGCATGGCCTTTCACTTTTTTCAGAAATGCACGTGCAGGTGCATCACAGATCATAGAGGTAAGCTTGACTGTTAACTTCAGTCCTTCAAATTCAAATCCATTTCCTAACTCTTTGATTTCAGAGATAAAGTCTTTGAGGTATTCGTCCAGGGAGCTTGGTTTGCTGTCACCACAAAATAACCCTATTGTTACAGGCTCCTCCTGCACCAAGTTTTGTACTTTGCCAAGAATGGGCCAGAATTGAGTTGATGAACTTTTGTATAAAGGAAGACCATCAATGCTCACCTGGAGCTTCAAATCTGTTGTGTTCCTCAAAATGTCCTTGTTGTCATAGAGGACCCCTGAAATGGATTCCAGTAAACCAAAATGGTAGTACTGGCCACCAGCTTTATTTTGCATTTGTTTTTTTGAACGCACTGTTCCTAATAACGTCCTTGCATCTTTAGGAAGACTCAGATTATGATTTCGAAGGATGCTGAGTAAGGAATTTAGTGCCACGTGTGTTATTTTGTTTTCTGTTGCCCAACTTGCCAAGTCGTCGTTAAGAGAACTTGAATGCAATTCAGTATCTGCATCAGAGTCCGACTCTGAGTCAGATAGACTAATGAATGATGCACTTGCCATGATGTTGCTGCATTCAGGTGCATCGACATAAGACAAACAGTCCATGAAGTCAGTATCATCTTCAACAGTGCTGCTTGTATCTGTGCCATCATACTCATCCCTCAACGGTGATGCTGATAACATATCCATTGATTGAAGCTGTTTGTCCACCTTGGCTTTGGCTTTTCTTCGCAGTGTCCAGTAAGACTGTTTTTTGCAATCCATGGCTCTGAGATATTAACACACAAAAAAATGCATTGCCCTAACGTGCAAAGCCAACTACATACAGTGCTTTTCAAATGCAGTATTTGTAGATCCTTACATCACATACTCTGGATATAGCTTTTACATGTAATTGAACTCATTATAAAATTTAAGCTTGTTAAATTAAATGGAGATTAATAGATGATAGACAACCAGAATATGCAATGTTATGGATCCCCAAGATTGGAATTTGGAACTACTTTCTTAAAGACAAATTACACATACCTTATTATTGAGTGTGTGAGCTTTTGATGTAGTTGTCAGGAAAACTCTGTAATTAGAAAAGAGATAAATTGGTAAGGTCAGTTTCGTCGTTCTTATAATGCCTAGAAATAATATAACAAAGCTAAATAAATGTGTAATCACTTTTATGGAGTAAAATTTGTTTAAATAAGAACTAAACTCCTTAAGAATGCCTATATTCTGCTATTCTTTAAAATTAAAAGTTTTTTTTTTGTTTTTTATCTTGCCCAAAATTTAAAGTTACAGTTATGCTAGAAATTACAATTTTATTACCATTTACTCACCATTCACTTTTTTTAACCTGTATGATGTTATTTCTTAGGTTGATTACAAAAAACGATAGTTTGAAGAAAGCTGGAAAATTGTAACCATTGCCTTCGTTTGTATTTGTTTTCCTGCCATAGAAATCTATGGTTACAGGTTTTCAGCTTTTTTCAAAATAACTTTTTCTGTGTCCAACAAAAAGATGTAAACTTGAAATTTGAGAGAGAGTAAATACTGAGTTAATTTTCATTTCTTGGTGAACCCTTTACTGCAGGAGACAAATTGTTATCATAGCAAAATTTGAAGGAAGTTAAGATCAACCTATTTATTTATTTATTTATTTTTATTATTTTTTACTAAGATATGGGTTGAGTTGTGGGGTTTGAAACCAGAGGTCTAGGGAGGGTTATGTATTCTAAACTATGCAGATAAAAAAAATCTCCTAACAATTTTTACTAATGTTATTCTTAATATAAGTCATGGAATGAGTTTTTTTTTTCTTTTAAAACAGGAAGATTGTTCTATATTCAAAGATTTGTTACTGTTCGCTGATCTTGAGGAAAGTTCCCAGGAGATTTATTTGTTTAATGTTTTAGGCGAATGGCTACAGGATAATATATTTAATTTAATTTGGATTTAATTTGATATTTAAATCGTTGACACTGTTTTATATAATAGAACTTAAATGGCTCGAGAGTAGTTTATGATCATGACTTTAAAGCATATCCTTATCAACAGGTGGCAGTAATACGCCTTTCTATAAATCTGTATGCCAAACGCCAATGTTAAGAAGAAGATTAACCACTTCCACGAGCTTCACGCCACGGCTTTTTACAGGTAAAGTAATTTACTTTTTGTTTCATGGCATATTTATCCTACATAGTAAATGTGTGCGGTCCTAACGTGAGGTAATGTTAAAGCAGGGAATGCGGTATTGCGGAGAAAATTATATATTTTATAGGTAAACGCAGTGTTCGTAAAAATTGTTGAATGGGAAAATGGTAAATGCTGATCACGCTTATATTATAAGCCGTTTTCATCTGTATTTGGCGCTGATCACTAGTTTTTCCACTAACAAAAATATTTTAATATGTTGAAATGACTTGTCAAAACTAACATTTATAAGCTTGCTTTTGAAAGTTGTGCAAACTTTGCAGGACCCTACTCCTTCGAGCGAGTCTGTAATCATGGCATGTTTATAAAGACCGTAGTTTCGTCCTTAAGCATTCAACAGCGTTCACGCGTTACTTTTCTCATCGCTGTTGGACCAAACAAATCAGTATTTTCCCGCTCCGGCCTGCAGTTGGGCCACGTCATTTCGATTATTTACCATGGTTTACTATAGATAAACAAGTAAATACATATTTAATAAAAATGGTTGATGTAGTTATGCCATCGTAATCATAGTTTTTCTGTTTTTAATAGATACGCATTTTAAGCTTTTCAGGTAACGTTAAGTACTTTTTAATAAATGCGCTAATAATCATGGTTTTACGGTACAAAAAAATCCTTGAATGGATGGCACATAAGTAATCTTGTGTCGGAAGGCTGACATTTAACGTTAATAAAACTAATACTTACCAACAACCGACAAATGAACCTTAGCTTTACCGAATAAACAATGGAAAAAAACGTAAATATGTAAACAAACGAATAACCACGAATGAACAAGATCGAACAGGATTGTATGTACAAATTAATGTATTTACAGAATATTCTTAAGCTAAAAAGCCAACTATTGTAAAAAATAAATAAATAAATAAATAAATAAACGTTGAGGATGCTCTCTGTCATCTGTTTGCTAACTGCCGTTGGTGATGTGACGTAATCGCCTCACTACGTGTCACCCTCACCCAGACTTGAGCAGGGTAACATAAATGTCCTGTATAATATAAATGTCTAAATTGTTAGAAATTAATTAATTTGTTAAATATATGTATTTTTATTTAATCCTATTGTTAATATTATTATTAGTGGTTCAAGTGTGAAGCGCTGAAACCCTAATGTTTTTGTTGTTTTGTATTATTCCTGTTTTCAACATTATTATTATTATTATTATTATTATGGCCTAGTTTTTCACTAATGAATAATCTGTCCATAAAACAACTACATGCCATACACCACATTCTCTACGTATTTCTTTACTACTGTTAACTCTTCAGCTGTTCTGTCACATTTTTGGTAGTGTGAAAAGTCATCACTCACTGTACATAATATTAGAATGTCATTATTGCAATGACCCTTGAAACGTGCTACAGTGAGTACAAAACTATTACATTTACCAAATAAATGTTCAGGTTTTTTTCTCGTAATGTTAAGTGGACATTCTTCAAAAGCAGTATTAATTATTTATTTGTGTGTAATATAAAAGGTTATTGTTTTATGTGATTTGTTTATCTTTAATATCCAAATAATTTGAATAATTTTAGGGGTGCAAATTTCCGATATCAGGAAAAATATTATTTGTTGATTGTATTATTATTTTTTTCAGGTGTTTTTGATTAAGTTTCTTAAGTATGTTTCCCCTATCATTGGTAATGTTGTGAATGCATAAAAAGTACTAAATTCCTACATTTAATTCATGGAAACATTAATTAATGAACGGTCATGTACTAGAGAGTTGATTTTAATTTTTTGAATTAGCGTATATTAACATAAAAATATATCCTTACCTGTCTCATGCAGAATTCTGTTCTGATGTTGAGCTGTGGTCCCTTCATCCAGACGCTCTTCGAAAACCAGTCTCTTTCACAGACATCAGGTACTTTTTTTTTGTGTGTGTGTGTGTGTGATTTAGTATCACGTGAAAACTTGCTACATAATGTCATATTCAATGTGCAATATAAGGCTTAAAATGTTACAGTTAAGGGTATGAAAATTTCTTGAACTAGAGCTGCAGAGTTGGATGAAATAATCAATTTATTTTTTTTGGGCTTATATTAAAGATTGTGTGTGTGTGTGTGTGTGTGTGTGTGTGTGTGTGTAACATTTGGAAATAATTAAAACAAATATAGACTAAATCAAGACTAAACATATCTGTAAAAAATTTAAAAAACTGTGCTTTTTTTGTTATTCCATTTATGTATTCCATTTTTTCCATGCCCTAAAAAATATTGGAATCAGAATACAGAACTGATAAGAACCCGTTTCGCTAAAATTAAGATGATACCCAATCCTGCACAGGTGCGATTACAACCTTTAAAACTTTTTAAATTATCTTTTTTACCGTGTGATAAATTCTTGATCCTTTGAATTATAATCGCATGCGTAAAAATACACGTACAGTAATTTCGATGTTCTAAAATATTTAAACTTTTAAAATCAACAGTGTATATATGTATAATGCTAAAACTGTAAGAGTGTAAATTTAGAAAGTGGGAATTAATCAGAAATCAAGGAAATAAATTATATTTTTTGTTCAGAAAATTGCACATTTATTTTGTAGTTTTAGATTAAAAGATCAGAGAAAGCATGTACAGTACATAGACAGTAGCTGAAAAAGGACAATTTCTCAAGCATTTAAAAGCCAGGTTTAACTGGTAATGTGCTTCATTTACCTATGATCTGATTGACCTAAATGGATCCGGTGTAATTGGCTTCAGTCATATTTCTGTCACCGTCTCCATCTTTCTTAGCCATCCTTGAATTTCTCATGCTAAACTTCATACATACAGTACGTGATCATAGGTTAGGAAAGCAGGCACGGCACGCATGTATGCTATACCAAAAAGATAAATTGATGAATCAGCAAGGGGTTTAAATTGGGTAATGACAAGTAACATGAATCATGTCACAAAACACATCAAGACAAAAGTAACAAACCTGTTTTACATGTGTAATGAGTAGAAAGTACAGGTATTTGTAAAAATGTAAAGCGTAAAAGTAAAAATTTGTCAAAATAATTAAGTACTGATACCTAACAAATCTACTTAAGTACAGTAACAAACTATTTGTATTTCATTTCTTTTTCTCATTTTTTAGTTGTGCCATTTTTTTGCGTCTATGCTTTAAAAGAGACAAAATGAAAATTGTAGCCTTTGTTTTCTATGCTTTTTGCAACATAATTTGCCCAGATAACTGCTGTAAATCTCAGCTTATGTCCATTGAGGTTTAAGGAATTTTGGATGGAGAGATTTCCATACTGAATCTCACTGTGTTTTTCAAGTTCTCTGATCTCGGCAGAAGTGAATTATAGACAATGGCCCCCTAGACATGGCCTTGCTACAGAAGCTCTGCTCATAACTATGATGCAGCCCAAATAAGTTTTGTAATACAGACTTTCATATCACAGTTTACACTTTAGGCCATGTACATTTTGTAAATTTGTTTATTAAAAATAATAATAATAATAATTATAATAATAATTAGTTTTACTGCAATCACCTTGGTTTATTAATTTGTTTTAATAATGTTTTTCATACAGACCCTTTACTGTATTAAGCTGCATAACCTGTTTAGATAAAAAAAAAAAAAAAAAAACTCAAATGTCAATCTTACAGATTTTGAATGTGGTTTTAGTACTTGGCTGCATTGAATATTTGCTTATGACTAGTAAACAATACAGTAAGTTTGTGTAGAAACTCTTATTACCAGAATGTATATTGTTACAGTCCGTCTATAATAATTTTTTTGTCTATTTATCAGGGTCCAGTGACTACTTTTGGGGGGTCTGCAAACTTCCAATGAGGACCATTGACCAATTGAAAAGGATTCACTCAAGGAGGGATTAAATGCCACCATCTCACCCCAATACCTTGGAAATGATGGGTCAATTATTGGGTGATGGCTTTTCCACCACCAAAACGCTTGTAAATAGTTGCCTAAAACACATGAATAGTTAATTGTTTTAGGCTGGAACCGTTTAATTTCTAATAATACATTTTAAAATATAATTGTATAAAATGCCATGTTGTTTTATGTATTGTAAATAAACAAGTCATTCAGCACCATTTCAGTAAGTAACTAATGTCAAGCAGTTGTGACTGTTGCGCATAATTATTGTGATGCTGTATAAAGTAATATCAAAGGTGACAACATACTTGCCACACAATTTTTATATCAATTGACATGACAAAAGTGCAGTTGAGGCATGACAATGTCAAAGTTGCATCAACAGCAGCTTGTAAATGGGATGATTTTGAATAAAAACTTTCTTGAAATTATTATAATTATTTTAATTGGTGTCAATGATCCCTTCGATGCAAATTCGAGTGACTATTTACCTCACAATCGCATAACATGTTGTATTTGGTTATGACAAATGGGGAAAGTCAAAATTTGTCAGCAACTTGTACAAACTGTTCTGCTTGATTTTGAATTATCTGCAGATTAATTTGGGCATGCATTCATGGCAGCTTGGTGTATGTTTCAATCATGGCTATCAGCTTTTACAACAGTACTGCAAAATAAATTCTCAACATCTGAAGTGGATCTTAAATGGAAGTTCTTTTCTACTTAACTTCATTTTAAAAAAAGTGTGTTAAGTCATGTTTATCAATTTGATTTATTTAGCACATCTGTACATACAATACAAACACCAAATACATCTGTGCACGGTCGTATATTATATGTGTTCACTGGCCAATGTTGTGGATAATTTTGTAAGACTTTTTTTCTCTCTTGTAAATAATAGTATTTTATTGTCTATCACAATGATCATTTAAAATAATCTTTTCATTTGCAACAATGTATAAACTGCTAAAGGTTAGTGAATTTTGTGAGGCAGTATAAATTGAATTTAGTTTGTATAGTGCATTTTCTTAAAAGGCTTTTTCCTTTTCATTATCAAGGTTTGTTTGTTAATTAATTTAGCAATTGTTGGTTTTGGCTTATTCACTTGAGGTTTAATTATTTTGAGCAAAATATGAAAAAGGGTTGTCTGTGTAGTACATCACTTTTTTAAATCCATGGCATGGGTCAAATTATTAAGCTTGTATATTGGACTTGAAATGGCAACTATATATATATATATATATATATATATATATATATATATATATATATATATATATATATATATATATATATATATATATATATATATGTATGTATCTATATGTATATGCTTTTAGCAAAATAACACTGTCGGCCAATAAAAAGCAGGTAAGAGTACTGCTGTTCTTTATTTATTTATTTTTTTGCATATACATTACTCAACCTATTGATAGATCATGAAATCTAACAAAAACAAAACTCTAAAAAAAAAAGATATAAGGCTGTGTGCATGATGGGTCCAAAATGTGTTCGTGTGTTTGGATGTGTGTGTGCTGTACTGTATTTTTATTTCTTATGAAAATAAATTAAATTATTAAAAAAAGTTTCAATAGTTATTAATTCTGTGAACATATACAGTTTTCATTATTCTAACTAAAGAAGCAGTGCATAAAATAAACTGGCAGTACTAGACAGTACTAAAACCGGCATAAAAAAAATAATCAAGCTTAAAATTTGAACGTCATGAATGCTAAATACATTATCAGTGACATTGCCTTAAACCCCATGCGTCGTGACATCTCTGACAGTAAACTAATTTGACACATCGACATTTCCTCATTCTAGTTCAAGCTGCTATGGTCGCGTCTGTTGTCAGCTTGCCTCGGTAATTTCAGGAGTCCAAGATTCGTCGTATAGACGGCGTATAGAGGTCAAGAAGACGGCTCCTTAACAAATGAAAACGTTCGATCGAATGCGATGTTTAGCAGATGTTACGATCTTTCAAAGACGTCTCCGCGACGTACGTGTGCTATCTGGGTCATTATATCTGGCAAAGAGGAATTTACATTCATTTTAATGTTTAGTTTGAGTTTTTAAATAAAACGCCAACAGTAAATGATGTAAATAAATAATAGGCTATCTAACATTTACAGCTCTATGCTGTCTTTACCCACCCAGCAATAGTTCGTCGAAAAGACGTCGAAAAGACGACATTGTCAGACGTCCAAACAACGTGGAAAACAGGTGGGAAAGTGAAAGACGAAACTACGTCTTTTTCATGTCGTCGAAAAGACGTAATTGTAAGACGTCCAAACAACGTGGAAAACAGGTGGGAAAGTGAAAGGTGAAAAGACGTCTTTTTCATGTCGTCGAAAATACGTCAATTTTAAGTCGAAATCTGGTTGTGAGAAATACCTTTATAAACGTTTTAGAAAATTCACATAATTCAGAAATTCAACATTTTGTTTAAAAATATTATTTATTAGCCTAATATTTGCAGACAAAAGTAATGACAAAACATGTATTGGTCAATTTAACATTAACAACAACAAAAGCATCAGATAGTGTTTTCAGCTCTGCGTCTGCCACCGCCAGACCATACAGGTGATCTCTCAAGGCCCTGTAAATTCGGTGGCTGTTGTGTCGCAGTTTGGCTGCACCTGCTATAACAAAGAAAAACTCTGTTTCAGTTGATATAATGCACATCCTTATGTGTTATTTTTAAAAAATTAACGTGACATTCAAATAATAAATGCTATTTTGACTGCATGATACACACGTTTTTGTTTAAGGACACATTTCAGTTAATTTAACCATACTTTTTATTGTATTATTATTTATTTTTAAGAAATGGAAAGAGATGGCAAAATACACACATCCTACTCAAGAAAAAGTGATACTGATGCCTAAAACAACTCTGGTAAAAGTTGAAGTAGCCTACTAACTGCACTTTTGTAGTCAAATATGGCCTCAAACACGTAATAAAAAAAAGTTTCTATTACTACCTGTTTTTCATGCAGGTAACTAGACTCACATCCAGGCCCGGCGCCAGGAATCAGAACTGAGGGGGCATTTTTAATCCATAGGGGGGCACTAGACCTGGTGGCTGATTTTGGTCTCTCTTGTTCCTTTCATTTAGGCTATTTATTCACATTTATTATTACTTTACTTTGTTACTGACCTAAGGCAGTATTATACGTTTTAATAGTAATATTAATATGCAAATTGTCGCTATTACTGATTTTATTAATGATGGTAATGCAACGATACCGCTTATTAATGCAGACGGAACATGGCTTCAGTGCCAAACGAGTGCTTTAAATCATATGTTTTTCTCCTTATTTATTTCAATTTTATTTCAAATAGCAGGCATATGAATGTTTAAAGTTTAAGGTAAAGACGTCAAATTATGCCCACACATGCAAGCTGACCCACGATCAGACTATTCGTATAACCGGTAAATAAATATAAATCAGCTTAACCGAGTCATCCCGCTTTGCGGAGCCTATTATCCAACCAACATCAGTGTTAGGGAAAAGCTAAATGTTACCCTGTCATTCAAAACAATTACTTCGTTACATTTTAAGGCATTAGTGTAGCCAGAAAAATACCTAAAAAATATGCCTAAATTCAGTTATTACCGTGAAAATTTGTTTGGCACGGATAACAGGGAACTTAATAGGCTATAAAACTTTTTTCATCATTTTAAAATGTAAAATAAAGATTTATCTTAGGCTATCGTAAGTGTATTTTTTTTTTTTCGTGATATTGTCTGCTTGTCATTTGTAAACCATCATTAACCATTAGGTTACTAGGCCTACCCGTCATTTTATTTATTAATTTATAATAAATTAACATTTTTAGTTATTTAAATTTTAATAACTTGTTTTCAGGTTATTTTTATTTTAGGGCCATGAGCTACAAGTCAAAACAAATTCGATATGCTGTAATATATTTAATGTTGTTTAATTTTGCATAAGCAAATAGCAGTATAGCCTTAATTACACATTTTTAAAAGATTGTGAGAGGTTTCTCGGTTGATCCGCTGTAATTGCACTTAAACACTATATACCTATTCCATTTATAACACTGCAAACTTGACTTCGCAGGCTGGTCATCTTTAAATGCAAAAGGCATTTATTATACCTAGACTGCTGCTGCATATGGGATGTTTCTCTACACAACTGTAAAAGTGCGCTTTTTAGCAATGTCAAAATGAAAGCAAACATTCAAAGGGCTATGCGTTGTCAATTTTAGCTTAATTGTAATCATAGTAATAATAATATTAATGAATAAATTAAAATATTATTTATAGTGTAGCCTACTGTGTGACTGTGCAGTGAACTATTTATTTTTATTAAAACATTTTATTAGGCTACATCTTCCCGAACAACTAATGTGAAAATGACTGGCAGTTGAGTCTCTGCTAAAATTTATTTAACAGCAAATTTCTTCTCCGTTTCTTCCTTTTAGAGCTCAAGAGAGTTGTGTTTAAAGATTTAGTTGACCAAAACATGTAATTAATTAAGCTGATCATCTCATGTCACCCACTTTTCTCCCTTGTGAGTTGAGTGCGCCTCCATCGCCGTGTCCACGTTTTATTTTCGGGCGCACCTGACCTGACGCGGGGACCGGATCTCTGGACTATAGGACTAGCTTTAATCTCACAATTTTCATAATTTAATTGCTATATATATATATCATATATTTTAAAATATTTAAATGTGTGTTCTAAAGGTTGGAACGACGGGAGAGTTTGTAATTAATGACAGAAATAATTTTAAGTTTTTACTTATCCTCCTATGCCCTGTTAATTTAGAACAATATAACATTTAAACATTGAATGATTAAAAATAAAAAAGCATTAAGATCATCTCTCTTAGGTGTAATTTGCTTTTTACCTATATTTACAGTTTAGTTTTAGCGATCTTCATATTTACAGTTGTGCTCCCTTTGCAGTGCACTTTAAAAACACTGATGTCATTTTGAACATAGCCTTAAGTTAAAGCTATATGTGACCTATTATTTAAAAGCGGAATTTATGTTACATCTCCAAAGCTTGTGAAAACAAAAAGCATACGTGAATTCTTTTGATTTATATAGGTTATTTATTAAATATCTGTATGACACGGGCCTGCCGGTTAGAACTTTCTGCTCTGGTTTACAAGTGTCAAATTGTAAAAGTAGACTTTTCTAAAAATAAATAAACAATACCCTACTTATTATTATTATTATTAATAGTAGTAATAATAATAATAATAATAATAATAATAATAATAATAACAACAACAACAAGAAGAATCTCCATTATCATCATTAATATTATTATAAAAAAAAATTTAATTTCTAATACACAAAAATAAAAATAATAGTTATTATCATCATAGTCATCATTATTATTATTATTATTAATATTATTATTATTAAATTATTATTTTTTAATTTTCTAATATATAATAAATATTAAATTTCATTTTATAATAAATCGCCTAGTATTTATTTATTCATAAGATTTATTTGCAGAATCTGGGGGCAACACAACTAATTTATACATGCACCTTTAACGCACCTACTTGATGTTTAACTCTGGGTGGGTCGCCGGTAGATAAGATCAATAGCCATAAATCCGCAATGCATACTCTCATTTTAAAAATCACGCGACCATCATCTTACAATTTTAAATAATAAATAATCTTATTTATTAAAACGAGTGATGAAGCAATGCAGCGCCATTAATAAGCCTAGCCAACTGCAGAGAAACAAAGCAACCATTGCGGCATCCGCAGTGATTACTTTTTCCGAAGTTCAGCTCTTCTTTTTTGCACTTGTTTATTATGCGTTTATTGTTAAAAAATCAATAATGAATAGGCCGACAAGAGTGTATTCTGTGTGTGTGCGTATGTTATCACTGAACAGAAAGTTGCTTTGTCTGTCTGGCAATATTTCGGCTTTTAATCGAACGAAAAGTTAATTTAGATGAGCCAATATTTTTAAAAAATGCAGTAAAGTAACTTTGACATGAGGCCACACATCGAATCTGGGGTCTGATCTCATCTCGTTCTCTCTCGCTGTCATCCAGACACTTGATACAGACGCCACACAGTCCCAAAACGGTACCAGCTGACAGGTAGAATACACTGTAAAAAATTGCTGTTAAAAAACGGTTAGATTCTATGGTAAAATAATGTTTTTTCACTAAAACAGTAATATTCTGTTAAAAACAGTGCATTCTGGGTAACATTTTTGTTTTCGAGAAAGTAACCAACTGCAGAAAACTGAGCTAACAGAGTTCAGATTCGATGTTTTGAAGTCTGTGTTTGAAATCACACTTTGTGTCCTTGTTCACTATTTCATACACTAGTTAACTAATATAGTTCACCTGACAGTTAATGAACACTAATGAGTGAATTCAGACACTGATGAACACCTGCTGTTAATAATTACAATTACTGAAGAAAAGAAACAAGAAACACAAACAGTGACTTGAGTTACAACATTAAATAAAATCAAATAAAATAAAACAGCTTCAGTCTCAGCAGAGGATCATTAAACAACTCTACAAACAACAGCAGACACACACTTATTACTGACTGATTTGACTTC